CCTCACCCCCACCCAGATCCCCACAAACACCCACAGTCCCCCACAAAACCCCACGGATCCCCAAAGAGCCCCACAGATACCTATAAACCCCCACGGACTCCCACAAAAACCTATGAACTCCCACAGATCCCTACGAACCCCCATGGACCCCCACAAAGCCTAAAGGAACCCCATGGACCCCCATGGATGCCTACGGACAACATGTACCTTGCAGACCCCCACGAATTCGTACAGACCCCAAGGGACCCCACAGACCTCCATGGACCCCCACGGAACCCCACAGACACCTACAAACCCCCAAAGAACTCCCATGAACCCCTAAGAACCCCCACAGACCCCCACAGAACCCTATGAACCTCTACAGACACCTGACAACCCCCACTGACCCCCACAAAGCCCCACGGACCCCCACTTCTAAAGGCAGCTCACAGAGCACCTAAAAAAACAGAGGGTAAATAATGAACCAAGTTGACATCTCAGACTTTGCAATTGGACAACAACACAGCCCACAGCTGCCTCTCCTTCTCTGCCTGCTTATTGGTATGCAGCTTCACCCCTCCAAGCCTGCGTATAGCATCTGAAAAATACGAAGCAAAAGGCACATGCTGAGGTATTGCCCAAAATCTCAGCCTGCCTGCAGCAATTCCCATCTCCCATGCCTTTACCTTGGCTGTTTGCCCACCTGGTGCCCATGATTTTGGGCTGCCACTTTGAGTCTTGTGCACTATCCGTGCAATGGAACCAAAGGACACTTAGAACTTCACCCACAATACAGCACCTGAAAAAGAATTAATACTTCAGCCCACTAGTCATTGCTCGCCTTGCCTAAGTCAAGCCTGCTCCTCAGAAGCTGCTCTTCCAAGCCTTCCAAGCCATGTCTTCATCCTGTGGGCACCTCCCATTTTCTGTCTTCCCACGGACTCTGGGCTCTGTTAGACCCGCAAAACAAGTGAAGCCCTGACAAAAATCTATGAGGGGCCTGCCACAAACTGCAAAAGCTCTAGGGACACTGGTACTCTGTGGGCAACAGGGAAAGGTGATGAGCTGTACTGTACACTGAAAGACATTATGTCCTTGCTGCTTTCTTGAGAAATGCTTAAACTCCATACGCAGGTGCACACAAGATGCTCACCCTAAACTCTGCTAGATAATCTCACCATCAGTAAGATGGTGAAATCAGTAAGAAAAATGGTATCAGTAACTTACACAGTATACAGCAAACCTAGTGAAAAAAAACCCCACAATTCATTCTTCAATAAAATCAAAAATTGCAGGACAATGCAGTACACCTAGAATAAAGAAAAGCGTACTACTAAGCCATTTTGCCATCCTTAAATACTCATTACAGAAGTACTAACCTTAAAAAACCAACCAAACAAACAAATAAACAAACAAAAGAAAACCCCCAAACCCAAAAAAACCCCACCACCAGAGTTTAAAAGAAAGCAAGCAGAGGATTTTGCTTAGCAGCAGCAAGCAAACAGAGGAGTTTGCAAGCAAACAAAGCCAGCATAAAAGCATTCTCCTATATACGCTGTTGAACCTTAGCAGGTGCTGAAGGCCTTTCTTAAGACTTCTTAACTTTGCACCTCTAAATGCCCAAACAGCTGAGCCAGCCCTAAAGCTGCAGTCAACTGAAGACCCAACACCCCACCATTCCCAAAGAAGCCCCAGAGCAGAATGAACTTACTGAGCAGAGGTCAGGGTCAGACCCCAGGCCCTGCCCACTACCCTTCCCACAATCCCCTGGGAACGGGGCAGGGCCAAGCCCCAGAAGCTATAGAGATAGCCACAGGAGTAGGACCAGTATTTCTCACTTGCCTTAAGTTTACAGCAGGCTAAGGACCATACCTGTGGTTTTTTTTTCCATTTGGGAGTTCTGACTCATCTCCAGTGATTATCATGCCACTTGTTGCTATGGAGAAGGTATTTTTATAGTTGCTGTTTTATTTTTGTAAACTTAAGACATTTTTGTCCTTAATTGTTGACCATTTTCTGTACTGTTAGAATGTTGGAAGCATGTTTTCTTGAGAAGAACGACAAACATTTCTAGTGTCCTGGAGGACCATAGAGCCATAGAGATTGACATCAGAGGACTGATAGTCACTTCCGGCGTCCTGGAGGACCAAAAGGCCATCGAGATGAATTTCCGGAGGACTGATGGTCGCTTCCGGCGTCCTGGAGGACCGAAAGGCCATCGAGATGGACTTCCGGAGGACTGACGCGTGTTGGAGGACCGAAAGGCCATAGAGATGTACTTCCGGAGGACTGATAGTCACTTCCGGCGTCCCGGAGGACCGGAAGGTCATAGAGGTGGACTTCCGGAGGACTGATAGTCACTTCCGGCGTCCTGGAGGACCGGAAAGCCATAGAGGTGGACTTCCGGAGGACTGATAGCCATTTCCGGTATTCTGGGGGGACGGAAAGATCATCGAGATGAACTTCTCGGGGACTCTCCGGCACTTCCGGGGGGCCCTGTTCGCGGTAATATTCGCTATCGGAGCGCTAATGTCCGTTCTCGGGACCGGGCGGGGCAGCCGTGCCTGCGGGCGGGCGGCACAGGAACCGCTCTGGCTGGCGGGAAGCCCGCCGGAACGCCCTTTGGGCTGCTTCGTCCTCGAGCCAGCGCTGGCCCGGCCTTCGCGGAACTGCGCATGCGCCCGAGCTGCGGAACCGACGCAAAGCCCCGCCCGGGGGCGGAGCCGAGGGGTGGGGAATTATCATCGTCCCACTGCGCATGCGCGGTTCCTCATCTGCAGTACCGGCCGTCGGCCGCCGGGTGTCAGCACCCCTTTAGTTATTCTGCTCTGAGCCCTCATTAGGGTGATGAGCAGCGGCTGCTCTCAGCGCTGTTCAGTCCCGACAGGGACTGTAACCATCTTGTAGCTTCCATATCTCTGCCCTGTCCCCACTCTGCCCAGCCCCACTCAGGCTGTGACTCACCTCTTTTGGGGGAACCCCATGTAGCTCCCACATGTCCCACTCACCTGGCTCCTTCACTGCATCCTTGCTCCCCCGGTGACATTGGGGTGCCCCAAATGACATCACACACACACACACACCATCACACTCACCCCTATTTTTAATTCACCAACAAACCCGAACAAAATGACCAGACCCAGGGCTGGCCCCTTCCCCTCAGGCGGCTCCACCACTGGCTGCAAACCTGGGCTGGGGCATCTATCAAGCAGCATAAGACACATATAACGAGGCATCTGAAAAACAAAAATGCCTAATTGTAGTTCAGCATCATAAAGCAAAATAGCAGAGAAGACAGTAGAGGAATTCCGGCACCGAGGGAGGTGGCCATGGGCCCTCCTCTCCACAGCCCTCATCAGCCTCCAGGCGGCTGCCCCAGACTGGCCACCCACTTCTCCTGCCAGGAGGGCGAGATCCCTGGCTCCTTCCACAGCTTTCAGAACACCTCTCCGCCTCCATCACACAAGCAAACGTCTTAGGGGCTTTTTTTTTTTTTTTTTTTTGTGGTTTTTCTGACAAAAAAACAGGCTCCCACAACAGGAAAATGCACAAGTGCTCTCAGTTCTATCCTGACAGCTGCATTTTCACACATGCTTCCTGCCAGCTGCCAAAAAAAATATTCCAGTCTTGTGGTTAGTTGTCAGCATTTCCACATAAGAAACATTTGCAAGGGGAGGGTAGAAGTTATCTTAAAAGAAAATAAACAAAAAAAGCAAAATGAGGAGGAAGGAAGTTGCACACAAAATTCTGTGAGGAAACAGATCAGGCCTTGGGAGGGATTTTGTATTACGCCAGAGAAGAGGAGAGACTGTAGGGCCTCATCTTGTTACCTTCAGAAACTGGAGACAAGTAATAAGGCAAGGACCACAACACCACTTTTAAGGCATTTTCTGTATAAGTAGTTACTTCACATACAACAGGGCCTAGAGTTCTTCAGAAAGCATTGCCTGGGTATAGTTTACTTCACCCAGAGGATACACAGATGTCATCTATTTGCTGTAATGATAATTATATCGTTTTGTATTACTGATTAGATGACCAAATTAGTCATCAAATCCGTTTCTGCAGTGCTGTTGAACTCAAGTTCCTGATGAGATTTATATCTTCTAGTACAAGATCTCACGTCCTCACAGCTTAAAAATTGAAGTTTGACCAAAACAGTTCCCTATCAAGTTGGCTAGCTATAAATACTTCTTAGCATCTTAGAATGTCTATAGATTATTTTTTGGGGCCAATTTTTTTTTTTAATCACATCGCTGCTAAAAATAAAAACGGTAGTACATACTCCCTCAATCTCAGCCATACTGTGGTCTACCACACAGCACTCTCACATGGAAAAACTCCTGATTACGTCCGCTACATTTTAGAGCAACTCTGTGTAACATTTCATTGTATCCCAAACTGCTGTTCCTCACTCCACAGCTTTTTCTTCAGCCCACTGCTCTGCCTGCCATAAGCTAAATGTAAGTGGAATATTACCGAAGTCTTTACGCAAACACCAGTAAAGATCAACACTGTTACCATATTTAGGACTTCCTCAACCCCGGGAGCCATTCGTCGAAGATCTCGTTAGTGTAATGTCACCAGCTGTCCTGCTCGGTATCAAGAAAATGTTTTTTCTCACAATTCTGCTATTTTGCTACCGTAAGCCGAGGACGTACTTCTTACATATTACAAATCTTTCTAAACAAGAACTATTGTTTCTTATCTGAAACCTTTCTTTTCTCCTCTTAGTTCAAATGTCTCAGCAGATTCAGAAAACTACTGCAAATGGCAAAGGTAGGTTCTCTTTTTTTTTTTTGGCTTTATATGTTGAAATTAACTGTTAACAAAAAAAAAAAAAATTGGGGAGGGATTTAAAAATGTCCAGAACCTTCATGTAAAATTAAATCTTTTGCCCTGTGTGGTGGCAAAAGGCAGTTTACAAGTTTCTATACAAAGTCAACTGTCTCTTTGCTGACCTGTATGTACAGTCAAAATTGCTTTAAGTTGTTAAAACATATTTTTTCCACTTTAAGTGTCATAATTTATCTTAGTCATGACTAGTTTATTACCATTATATATGAAAATACATTAAAAGTTTCTATCACAAATTTATTTGTATAATCTCATAAAAGCAATCTATTTTAACAGACTGTCAAGACTCCTGCTGCTACTATTCAAAATACCACTTCTGCCTTTTTACATATGGCCACAAATAAAATACTGCTTTTACTTTCAGGTTCACATGTTACCTCTCAACTGGCATATAATGTTACTTTCTCCTACAATTACAGTCCCATAATATTTATGTTTGTCTTTTATATTCTATTATTTTCATTGCTCCTGGAGTTCAACAGTATTTTTGTTAGTTCATCTAGATACATCAGTTAGCTTTGTGTCTATATGCTCTATTTTGCATGAAGACATGCATTTTTCATCAAGTGTTTGAAGCTACATACTGTTTTTGAAAAATATCAAGTTGTGTTGCCTGCTACCGAAGGTGGAAAAAATTACAACCCCCTGTTTCAACAGAAATAAGGATAGCCTGGTCCTCGACATGTTTTGGGAGCAATCTGAGGGTTTCTTGGATGATAGATGCAGTGAACTCACTCAGAGGTTTCTTCTTTCCAGAGATGCTGTCCAATCCCAGGCTCGTGTCTGTTCAGAGGACTTTGAATGTAGTGATGAACCAGAACGTGAGCCTCTCCTGCCACTCAGACTCTGGATTTCCACCTGTCAAATACACATTGTTTAAACACAATCAGAAGGTATCCACTTTAAATAGGCCAGACTTGACACCCGCTTTGTTTAACTTGACTATCGACTCTGCCGGTGATGTGGGTGAATACAAATGCAAAGCTGAGAATATAATGTCCAGTGGCGGAAAATACAGCAACAGTCTCAACTTCACCCTTATAGGTATGTCTGGCTGAATGCCGTGTCAGCTCATTTTATTTTTGGGGTACGTAGCCACATGATGTATCTGCAACAGCAGAGTCAGGGTTTTGTTTGCAGCAGGTACTGTTTTGGACTACGGTGTGCACCTGCCTTGATGGTGGAGCTGAACCTTATGGCAAAACCCTATTTGACCTAGACTCTGTGCTACTCTGATCTGGCTCACTGAGGCCTCCATTCCTTGATGCCAATCTCATTTGCCAGTGTTGCCACTTAACTCCGAGTCTTGCTTTGCAGCTTGTCCTGTACGCAGTGATGCAGTTCTTTCAGGTTTTTTTTTTACAGAGCCGATTTCCAAACCTGTGCTGAGTTCACCCACCTCTCAAGCAAAGAAAGGCCAAAATGTGACCCTGTCTTGCCTCTCGGAGAACGGCTCTCTTCCTATCACATACATCTTCTTCAAAGGAAAACGAAACATCTCTCCTCCAGTAAGGACGCACAAGAGGGAAGCAGCTGTGATTTTTCTATATATCAGTTCCTCTAGTGACTTTGGAACCTATAAATGCAGAGCTGAAAATAGCTTTCACAATAGTACAAAATACAGCAACAGTTTCAACTTTACATTAGCAGGTGTGTATGCGTGAACGTTTACCACGGTCAGAAAACAGGGACCACACAAAATTCAGAATCCTGTAACGATGCAACTTTTTTAGACAGAAATTTTGTTCCTGCAAGGTAATGTTCAAAATACAATTTTTTTACAATTAAAAAAATGCTTAGTTTTTAAAGTTAATGCAAAAAGATAGAATTCCATGCAGCCTAGATAGTAGGAAAAGTTGAAGTGACCAAGAAGGATGACTCGCTTTTACAATAGACCCCTCGTCCACCTAGAGAGGAGTCTAGTTTCATTTTTCTCTCTGGTCTTATGAGAGTCTGGTGGCACCAGCGAGTTCCCTTCTTTCTGCTGTGGCAGTGTGCGCTTGGGACTCCTGAATAGTTACATTAACCACAGTTAATCCAAAAGCTTAAAGAAATGCAAAGTCTGGATTTTAATTTACAGTAAATACTTAGACTATGAAACAACGTTTCATTGCATAAACTTTTTTTTTTCTTTTTCTTTTTGGCAGAAGAAAGAAACTATTCTCAACCTCTGATCATTTCTCTTGGACTGATCTTGCTACTATTCGTAATAGGATTTGCTCTGGCAATTCCATTTTTCATAATTCCCTCATATAAAGCAAGTGAGTTATTTGAATGTCTGTTTCATTTACCCCGTTTATGTTGTCAATACATTTCAGTGTGTGAACGTCATGTTACAAGAAGACTTATACGCTTGGTATTTTAAGATGTCGTCAAGCCTCCTCTTAACCAGCATAGGCAACTTAGCAATACACTGACAAGGCAAAACCTCCGAGCTGTGTTTTCGGGCTGTGACAGGTCTGTGGAAGCAAAGCAACATCTAATCTAATACACATGAACATTGGAAGGAAGTGAACCTCATTGATCTTAGTAAAGAGAGGAAATTCTATTAATAATGCCCTTGGTTGAGGAGTAATTTTTATCATGAAAATAACGTTATCTGAGGTCTCCAAGTATTAACAGAGTATCATGGATATGTCTATTTACCTCTAAGAAAAAAAATTATATATGTTTGTAGGCACGTGTTTTCCTTTTACAATTTGCAGAAAAAATTAAGTCTACTAGGACCTCAACTGGCCTTACTTCACCAGCGAATGCAGAAGACTCTGAAAACTATGTAATATACACAGAGATTGGTAAGTTCATGTTACTCCCCGTGCAGTCACAAAACTTACTTGTGGGAGTAACTCGGTTGAAGAATGCTATTATACTGTTTGTAGTGAGGATGGGCAAATTTCTTCAGGTACTGCAAAGGCAGTGGAAGAGGACACCTACTACCACTCAGTAAGCAATAATAGTCCCACTGACCGTGCCTGGTAGAGGCATTATTTGAAGTTCCTCAGGATCCATATTTGGCACTACCTGTCAACCACGCAACCAAAACTATAATTAGGTAAATGAACCGAAATTCTACACAGAAATCTACTGTAAGCAGAAGTAAAATGAAGAATTGCATTTGGCAACTCATAGTGAAGACTAAAATAGCCATTACAGAGAAAAAGAAAATTAAAGGCAGTAAGTAGATCAGAGATGCAATTCCCATTTACCAAGAGACAAAAGTGGGCCATATGCAAGTTGTAGCAAAATAAAACTTACATAGCTCCTGTGTTGTGTTCAAAATTGTTCAGTACACAACAGTTCTTTATTCCATGTTTCTCAACAAGACTGTCAGTTCAAACCAAAATTATGAAATAATGCTCGATGACAAATCAACTGACCTATGCTAAAACATTGTACTAGTTCAGTTGCAGAAAATACACCAGTAATGAAGACATTACATGAAAGCCACAATGCCATTAACTTGTGGTTTTCTACACCTGCCTTATACATGAACATCAATATTTTCAAAAGAAAAAGAAACCCCAAAACAAACCAACAGCAAAGACATTATTTTGCCTGTGTCTAAATACCAGAAAGGGGATCATTCTCTCCAAACAAATCTGCCTTCCTATTCCTGTAGGAGACGGGCAGGGCTGTCGCTGCTCTGCTACATTAGCTCAGTATAGCTGATTATGCCAGATATCAATCAGGTTTCTACCCACATACCCTGCAAGGACAGTGACAATAGCTCTGATAAGGGCCACAAACACTAAAGCATGGTAGACTTAAATTCAATACGGAATCTTGCTGCTTTATTTCATTATTTAAAAAAAAAAAAATTAAAAAAAAAAAAAAAAAAAAAAAACAACACAACCACAAAAATCCAGTCAATCTTTTGTAATCAATTGCTGTTCACCATCTTTAATCCAGAGCCTGTTAAACCAGAAGAAGAATACGTCAACTTTTATGTTATAAGAAGAGAAGGTGGAAAAGGTGAAAACCTCAAGCTAGAATCTTGGAATATCTGATGCACAAAAATACGGTTTGGGGGAATTTTGCAGGGGGGAGACCGGGTTTAGATTGTAGCAGTTAGATACTGAAACTGTTTACTTGCTACAGAGAACTTCAAATAACTTTAAGACTTTTTTGAGGGGAAAAGCCTATCACCATCCTATAACCCAAAAATTCAACAGCTTCATTACAAAACCATGCAGGAAATGTTATTAGTGACCAAGTTGCTGATAGTATATTAATTTTTCTGTTGTGTATCTGTACCAAAAAGAGGAACCATGAATTATGTTATTCTGGCTTTTAGCAGAGAAGGCGGCACCAGCTACACTCTATTCAAAGGTCCTCGTCAGAGACTGAGTACAAGGTAAGATCTCTTTTGTGACTAACTTAAGGGTGTATTTTTAAAGAATCTTTCAGTTCTCAGTTGTGATAAGTACCACCAAATTTACACAGAAAGAGATGATACTAGTTTCCTGGACTAATTATTTCGTAGACAGCTAATAAAACTCGTTCTCTGATAGCAAGCAAAATCTCCAAGTCATAATCTCTAAGGGCTTCAATCTACAAGAAAAAGCAGAACAGATAAAAACTGCAATAAACAAAGACCCAAATAGCAATCCCATTAGACAAACAGCAGCTTATTGCCCAAATAGCACCATAAAAAAAAAACCAAAATGAAACAAAACAATGCAATCGCTGTCAGGTAAAATCCTGCTGGACACAATATATAATCTGGCATTGTATATATCTGATAAATAAACAGCAATGAATAAATGACACAAAGCTTTCACCCAGACCCAAGCTCCCGTACATTTAACAATTCTCCTGAAATTGAAACTGGATGGTACGCAAACATAAGATAATCAAAAGGCTTCAGTCATGTATTAAAAAAAAAAAATAATCCCAACTGTGTTATCCTCCTAGGCACACACTAGAGGATGTATCTGGCCTCTGTACCCACTGTTACCTAGCAGCAAGAATGGCAATTTCTCAGTTCAACATTACTTCAGCTCTCAGAGTAGGGACAGGAAGCTAAAATTAACTTTTGGGAGAATTAACTCCAAAACAAATTCTGTATCCTGCTATAAGCTGTTTCTTAAGATGTTTCTGGGTTGTTTTAATGTCATTTCGTAGCCAGCTTATGTGGAGTTCCACGAGTTCAGGAAGTCGCACAGCCACACTATGCTCACTTTGCATTGTATCTAGCATAAATACACTATGCGGCAATTATTATTATTTAGTGTACAGCAGTTACAAATAACCTGTTTATAGTTGAATAAGCATCGCGTTAACAGAAGAAATTTTTAAGGCAAGTTTCTGCGTTTCATGACATTGACATTTAGCCTGGACAAGCAAAGGCTGAGGGGAGACCTTATTTATGTTTACAAGTATCTAAAGGGCGGGTTGAAGTGTTGGAGCTGGACTCTTTTCAGTGGTTTCCAGCAATAGGACAAGGGGCAACGGGCTCAAGCTGGAACACAGGAAGTTCCATTCAAATATGAGAAAAAACTTCTTTACAGTGAGGGTGACGGAGCCCTGAAACAGGCTGCCCAGGGAGGTTGGGGAGTCCCCTTCTCTGGAGATCTTCAAGACCCACCTGGATGCTGTCCTGAGTGATGTGCTCTGCACAACCCTGCTTTAGCAGGGGAGTTGGACTGGATGATCTCTAGGGGATAAAAAACTGAAGACATGAAAGAGAATATGATTAGCCCTGCTAATGAGGGACAAGTTGTCTCTTCCCTCTTTACAAGGTAACCTGGAAGATGTAGATGGTCTAGATTTGACAGAAAACAGATGCACCACCAAGTGTTAGCAGAACTATTTGCCGAGAAACCACCGAGTCCGTGACACCATAGAAGGCAGCTCAGGCACAGAGGTTTAAGAAATTCCTTTTATTCAATGAATTCAAGTTTACACATTTTTGGCTGCTGTTACGTATTTAGTTAAAAAGTCCTTCAGCCTAGAAATGTGCATCATTTCCTTCATGGTGGTGTCTCTGCTTCTCAGCTGGACCACTCCATTCTCTAGGGTGGCATCAGTTATCAAGATCGTGAAGAGAACACTCATCTCATCGTACCTCCAAAGAAAAGAGCATGCCTGTTACTGCTTTTGGTGTACAAAAAGTTCAGATAAGTTAAATACAAATGACTATAAGCTGTAAATATTTATTCTGCTATACTGCACTAAGTTCAGTGCGAAGACACCAGTTTTCTTGTTACTATTCATTGCTTTCCTGATTACATTTCTTTAAATTAGTTACTTTAGCACATAAAAATGTTATCTAGTACCGTATTACAAGGGTATTTTTGTAGAAGCAGAATATATCTTTTTTCTGTTATTTTATAGTCAGACTTACTTTGGAGACTACTGCACACGAACAAACTGTTGCATTTGTTTTTCTCTCGGGGGAAAAAAAACCTCAGCAATAATCTCAAGATCCACTGACATCAGCAGCGATATGCTCAAAATTCAGTCCTGATCAACAAATCTTATATGAAACCCTCAAATGGAACAGCAGTTTTTATCTGCACAAGTAGTTCCATCACGTACACTAATGGTACCGGTTCCAGACTTGGAAGAACTTTTAAGTCAGACACAGCGTGCTATTTGAGATAGTACTTAAGAATGAAACACACAACCAGCCCTGACACAAGAATGGGGGCTGAGAGTGGGAAACAGTTCTGCGAGCTTATGAGTCATCTTAAGAAATTTATTTTCAATAGGAGAGTCTCTAAAAGGCACTCCAGAGTTCCACAGAAACAGCAGCGACATGTGAAAGGCTTGTACTTCACTTACTTTTAAAAATGAACTATCTGACATTGCTCTATGTAATAAAACTAACTGAATCCAAGTTTATAGTTTGGGATACATGCCTTCAGTCATGCGGTTACTGCACTCGATGACTGCTTACTGAAAACAGGCATATTTTTGCCAGTCCACAGAAAATCATCCTTCACCTTCATAGTTCAATTTACAAAAGACTGTTTCTCCTTACTTTGTATAAAGCTGTTCCAGAGATACCTGCATGGTTTCGAGATAACCCGGCCATACAGAAATTCTGTTTTCTGACAGTTCATTGAACAATCCTTGACAAACCTGCATTTATTTAAAAACAAAAGTTAAAAGACAGACTTCCAGGGATTGAAATCCTTTACAAAGAAACCAATAACTAGCATGTGCGGTATTAGCATTCCTAGCCGGTGTTAATTTTCTGGCTATAAGGACCTCAAAGTAGAAAGCAGCCTGACAATCAAATCTCCATTTCTACTTAAAAACATGTCAGTGCAATTTTCCTCCCTTCTGTGAGGACTGAATTAATGACTTGACTTACATAAAAACTTTTAAAAAACCCTTATGCGACCCATGTCTTAAAATAATCCTGAAAGATTAAGAAGGTGAGAGGAATTTTAAAATTTATTTTCCTTAACTTTGCATGGAATAAACATCAGCTCTGTTAATAGTACTAAAAGCAAGGTGCTAACACAAGGACGGCACCTACTACCTACTGTCTGCCATGTACTCCTTTGGCCGCAACTCACAAGCTGCACAGCAGAATCACAGTGAAAACTATGCAACCATGAACCTCCGAGAATCAAAGCAGCAGCATGATTTTCCCTAACACAAACAGTGTCTGAATTGTAACAGAAGGTTATGTGGAAAGTGAGTCCTCAAAATTAAAAAGCTTTCTTACAACGTACCTGTCTCAGCTCTGTTGTTGGACCTTTTCCTACATCCAAGGCCACTTTAAGGGGTGCTAAACAAGGATGAAGCTTCAGTACCTAATAATTGTACAAAAAGCAACCGATTACTAAATGCATTTATTGTGAAATTCTAAACAGAACTAGGAAATTTATTTTTTTTTCACTGAAAATAAGGTTCTAAATATGCAAAAAATTTCTCATAGCACCAAATCCTGAATTAGAAGCAAGCCTTATTTTATATAACTAGCACACATGCCAGCTAGGTTAGTGTGGCAGAAATTAGTCCGTTTTGGCTGAGCCCCAGAAAAGAGCTCAAGTTCTGTTAGCAAAGCTCCATCATCTGCAATGGAGCCAGAGTGATCAGAGACAGCCCTGTAGTTACCAATCTACTGCTTGTTCTTAAAGACCAAACGACTATTTGATTAACAAGTGCTGTCTCAAAGTTAGCACTAACTCCAGAAAATCAGGGAAAAAGTGGAATAATTATGGTCCTTGGAGAAACACCCCACTACCACCTGTGACCCACTTTTTCCACTCTTCTCAGCAACCTTCAAATGCTGCTGGAAGAAACAAACTCCTCACGAACAGCAGCTACACTCCAACTTAAGTCCTTCATTGCTTGCATGGCAAGAGCCTACCTTCTCATCACAGGAGGTAAAACAGGAAAGGTGACCTCAGAGTGAAAGAGAAATTGCTTATGCGGGTGAAAAGGACCGCAGTGGCAGTGCCATGGGGCCAGCCTATTGTTATCGGTGAAATGCATTCCGTCTGCAGGTCTTGGGGAAGGGAACGGAGAATGGAGATGTGGAAAAGAGAGATATTTCCACGCTTGAATTTACCTCATTGTCTGTGGGGTTTGTACTTAGACCTGCCCTCACCTTTCGTCATCTATTCTTCCTTACACTTTCTACAGAAAGTTACCTTTCTCTGTGAACTTCTCTTTTTAGTTAATGGATTCTCAGCTAGCTGTAGAGAATCAAAGAGGTACGCTAACGCTCCTCGGTCCAGATTTCCACTCACAGACAGAACATGAGGAATAACATTCTTCCTTCCATCTCGGCCCTGAAGAGGAAAAAAAAAAACAACCACAAAGAGATACCTCAACTACTGTCTCAATGGGCCTTTTGTTTACTTTAAATGTATAACGAGACATTGAGCTCAAGCAACCTCATTACATTTAAAATACAATCAGACATATATTTTTTAAAAGTTTCCAACAATCTTAAAAGTGTAACAATAACTAGGTAAGACTGTAACACTGGGGAAAGCAGATGAGAGCAGGATGGGATTATTTTCTGGTCCTGCCTCTCTGATCATAAATTCAAAAGATATGGCCAATACACTCACAACTCTGCATTTTCTCTTGGAAGTTTGTGGATTATGACCGCAGCGACCGCAAGGATCTGTCCCCACATTCTGAGAAACCACTACGTAACCCACAGTTGCGTAGGTTACATTACTTCTGTATTGCCATTTGCAGCATTTATCATCTATTGATCCACATACACTCCCCCACATATATGGAATTGGGCAAGCTACAGAAAGAAAAACATTTACAGGTTCTTTTTGATGCAAACTTAACACTGCAGAACACAGACCGAATTTGTCTTGACATCTACTCGTGGATTCAGGTAAAGGATACACAAGGGACAAGCGCCGTCTGGTCACAATAGCTCATTTCTAACTTTGAAGAATTAACTCTTTGCAAAAAAAAAAACCCAACAAAAAACAAAAAAACAACCCACCCCAAAATACTACTTTATCTGCTTTTGAAAATGAAGGTCTGGCTGTAGAGTATCAATTGTACTGTTCTTACAACAAAAGAACAAAGACAGTCACACGCTAAGAAACTGGAACAGCAAAGAAACCATTTCTCTCCCATGTACTTTTTATAAAAAAAATTTCTAATATAGTAAAGCTTACAAGTAATTTTGAACTATCCCCTGGATACATCTGTAACAGCTCAGTATCACCAAGGTTCTTCAATGTTTCTATTGTTTCTGTCCCCCAAGGAAAGCTGTAATGTAGATTAAATCCTCTTCTTCCTTCTTCATCCTGAAAGTCGCTGCTGCTGAAGTTAGACGGGCCTACTGCAAACTGAAAATTAAAAACGTAAGAGGTGATCGCTACTGTGTGTGCTGTATGAACTACAAAAAACAAGTCTGTAATGCAAGCTGAAGTTTGTGATTTTCAGCAGATTTTTATAAATTACAGCCCAAATCTCTTCGTTGTTTTACAGCATTTTGATCTCAGATCACTTACAAACACAAACCATTTGCCTTCCTGCAAGACACATTATAAACTACTTAATAGGTCTGTCACAAACTTCAGTAGTTTTTCCGTTTCTTAGAAATACATGTATTTCAGTTAAAAGAACTGGCTAGCAATATAACACCATAAAAGTGATCAGTGTGTCTATTCCCCCCCTCTTCGAGATATAAAGGAGCAGCCAACATTTCCCATGGGTTGTTACCTTCCTCCACCATTGGAGCCTCTGGCGTAACCAGTAATCGAGCCACTGCCCTGCAGTTCTGGGAGAGCTAAACCATGCAAGCAAAGATGTGGTCCTTTCGCCTATTCTTTAAACAATAGCAAGGTCAGCAAGTTAACTCCTTCAAAAATAACAGGAAAAAAGCAAAAGAGAGTATTCAAAAATAATTCAAAAGCGAAACAAGTGCAAGCAGTTGGTTTAAGTATGGAAAGGGATTAATCCCTCTATTACTCTACCTTATAGGGGTTCTGTTGTGCTGTTCCGTTTCTGGAATAGAGTGAAAACATACTCCAACTTGAGCGAGGCCACAAGGCAGTCTTTTGTTTACCAGTTCTAAGCAGCTAACATATTGTGCCAAAGCACCTGTCAAAAGACAAATCGCTAATTCTAGTAGCCACAGAAAAAAATAATTCTACTGATAGTGAATGTAACACATACGTTTATATGCACAGTCCCACTAGCGTTACTGTTTTTCAAAGATTAGTTAAGCAGTCTGTAGCCCAATTCCTCCAGGAACTTTGGCAACTGCAATTTTTATACGCCTTTCCCCTAATTACACAGGAAAACATCCGATGCACACTTCGGCATGAGCTGCTCAGGTCCCTGAAAAGGACACGAGCCCTCAGCACGCAGATGAAACTTTCCCAGCGCTCTAACGCCAACTGGAAAATTCCCTTAAACACAGCTGCTTCACTCCCAGCAAGAAAAAGGCGAGCGGGCGCCCAGAGCTCTCCGGAGACCCACCTCACCCCGAAGGGATGGGCCTCGGCCGAGGGACGTACCGGGGAGCAGGCTCTCACGAAGCACCCCGGCGCTCCCCAACACTTCTTCCAGAGAAGGACCGCCGGGCTCCTGGCTACAGCGCCCGCTCCGGAGGGCTTCGCGCAGCGTCTCTGAGTGCAGCAGCTGAAGCCCCTGCGAGGCCGGCGGAGCGCCGACGGCGGGCAGGCCGTGAACCGGGGCATCCACCGCCAACACCTGCTCCCGTAGCGCCAGCGCCGAGTCCCACCACTGGGCCGCCAGGTTGCCCCGCAGTGCGGCGCCCAGCGGCCCGAAGCCCGGGTGGCAGCCGCTGAGGTAGTCTCGCCATACCAGCGCCGGCCGCGGCTCCGCACCGCCCCGCAGGAAGTGCCGCCGCCAGCACACCTCCAGCAGCTCCTCCCCGCCCACCGCCTCACCGTCGCCGGCCGCTGCCACCGCGTAGGGCCGTGACGGGGACCCTGCCTCCACCCCCTCCGCCATCCGAGCGAAGGGCAGCCGCCGCAGCAGCACAGGCCGCCCCCAGGGAGCGCGGCCGCACCACCAGCCCCTCTGGCAACAGCCTAGCGCCATCTTCCTTGCGTCCCTGCTCCCTCATGGCGGAGGGAGTCAGGGGGGAGGAGACGAGGACGGTCGAAGCGCGCACTGCGCGTGCGCTACGTTCCCTCAGGAGCGAGGGGGGACGCAGCGACCGCGCATACGGGCTGGCGCTCCGCCGGCGGGGCCGTTTTCGCCGACCGCGGTTCCTTCTCGGAGGCGGCAGCTCCCTTGAGCCCGGCGAGGACTCATCCGCCGCCGGCGTTTCGTGCCCTCCAGCCCGACCCCGGCTGAGGCGATAGCGTATGCCTCCCCACCCCGGGCACGGCAGGCCCGAGCTCTACTACGCGGAGGCGACCCTGTGGGCTGGTGGGGTGCGTGCGAGGACCAAACCCTTCTCCGTCATGGGAAACACATCACCACTGCACAAGGAGGATTTCATGTGGAGAGCCCACATAGATCCCATTAGAGCAGCTACACGTTGCTTTGAGTCGTCTAAAACAGCACAAAGCAGAGTTCCAAGTAATGTGTCACGGCAGGGCACGCGGGGGCCCAAGGCCTCAGCCGAGCAGTGGAAATTTCCATACGTGCTTAATCACGGGTTTGTACCAGTGCCAGAAGGTGGAGCTCAAGAGAGGCACCATTCCGCGAGTTGCTGCTAAGAGAAACTCATGTATGTCAAATCCCAACCCGTCAGAATAATGTCGGCCTTGGTTCTTTACTGCACAACCGCGAGGAACAGACTGAGAACAGGGAGACAAGGCGTCAATTGGCCACTGGCTCAGCAGGAGGAGGTGCTGTTCCTGGGTGCAAAGGTACCACCACATACAGTTAGTTATATTTCTGAAGTAGATTTGCCATGAGCTCAATTCTATCAGAGTATCTGATATTATCAGAGTTATCAGGTAGAGCTCTTTTTTCTTCATTTTATGTGAAAATGTGAAGCGAGCCCAGCTTACATAGAGCAAGACCCTGTGGCCCTCAGGGAACACTTCCCCTGGATGATGGTCATTTGGAAACACCACACAGAAAAAAAAAAAAAATTAAGACCTGCTTCTGTTTTACAAGTTGTGCCTTACTGATTAAAAAAAAAAAAACAAAAACAAAACCTCACACCAAAACCCCAACACCTCTCTAGAAGCAAGACAGAACTGTCTAGTCTATTACTTCAATTCCTAAAGTAGCCAACTTGGCCACAAAGCCCACTAAGAATCTGCAACCTTAAAAATTCTGTACTAATTCTGTCACAAGGTGGATCTCTCTGCACGATTTCCTGATTAAGTCTCCAAAGCACGTTTTCAACCAGTAAGACTTGCCAACGCCTATCTGGTTTTCACTTTAACAAATGTGGTTTGTGCTATCTCCTACCTTTGCATCAGTTGAAGAAGGCCCCAGTCTGTTAATGTTAATGCACAAGCTCCAAGTTTTCTCCATATACCTTTTTTAGTATCAAGTTTTTAAACAAAAACATGCTTCCCACACCTTTTCTTTCAGGCAACTGACCTGGAAACTTTGGAATATTACATGTTAATGGCTAAGATAAGTAACTATCTACATCCTCGTCTTTAGCACTGAGCAAGGGGAACGTTGCAGAGCTAATTAAAACTACTTCCACATCACCAACTGCAGTGAAAGTGCAGTTGGTGAAGTGGGGTATTATTACAGGACTTCACCTTAAGTTCTTATAGCAATAGTGAATGATCGCAAGAGTACTGACAAGTGATAGAATACCACAGAAAACACAGATATACATAATTTTAGTTTAGTTAAGAACATCACAAGCTGAGCCTCAAAGGAAAACAATCTCCAAGAGCTGAGCACAGACTAGCAAAAAGGTCTGAAGTGTAAAACAAATAGCCTGACTTGGGCTCAAACTAACCTAGGTAGAATCTTGCCTTGATTCTTGCAGACAGAACCTTGAACGCATTAAGCTGTTAGTTAAGCACAGTTAAACTTGAAACTAATCACTGTTACTGATAAACGAGTGAGGAAGGTACTGAAAGTCAGCATTAACTGAAATTTTAATAGACTGTATTTTGAAAGCGTGATGTACTTTAACCCCCAGGATCAAGTATTATTCATGCTATGTGCCTACACAAGGAAATGCTGTTGCTTTACTGAGCATGGGCGATGTTTTGAGATGAATCATTTTTATGTCTTGAAAAAAATATATCCATGAAGCATGTTGACAGATCAACGGCCCACTTCCCTCCCCCCCCACTTCCATAAAGAAATCACTGCTCAATACCAGTTTAAGTATAATTTGAAGTTTTAATACTAAGATCTTCCCATTTCTCTGAAGCTCATAGTATGCCCGCATGCTAACCCACAAGGCCTGACAGCTGTAGATACATTACACTCAAGCCTGGTCTGCACATATGCTCCTGTGAAGGTAACAGTTACTGTGCTGCAAAGGCTTCCTACGCTTGTAGCAGCTCATTAGCAACACCACTGCAGAGTTTTGGATAGCAAGACTTCTTTTTTTAGCTATACCATTACTCCAGCAGATCTTTTCCAAAAACTGGCCCTATTCTAGTGAGACAAGGAAGAGCACTGTTTCCAACAGTTACGCAGAAGCCAGCTTTAGTTTTCTTCCCCATCAAAGCAGAGCCTGCCATGCTAAGCAATCTAGCCCAATCAAGGCAAGGCTGGTTTTTTTTTTTATAAGCTTAAATTTTTAATCAGACACAGTTGAGAAACCTTTCTAGAATTTAATATAAAAACATTTGACATTCCATTAATGTAAAGTTGTGCACATGTTGAGAAAATTGCCATCTGAAAGAAAATTCGGTCTTCAAATATCTTTATTGGAAGGCCATGCACTGCCTTCTGTTACTGTATTTCAAATCACTGTACATTTACTTTGAAAACACTGTCTGCATTTTCTAGTACAAAAAACTAAAAATTGTTTCAGGAATGTAGAGAAATATTCAACTTAAATAGCGAAAAAGTGCACCATAATTACTGCTGCACTGCAGTCATTTCTGCATTTCCCATTTCTTAAATAACTATCCTGTTTTGATAACACACAATATAAAGAGCAATTATGAAAAACTGAGACATTTAAATACACTAAGTTATTGAGAATAACTTGTTGGCATTGGGTAACCTATCATGGGAGCAGCACCAGTGGCAGGATACGCATACTGCTGCTGGTTCATGCCATTGTGCATATTTGCAATATTACTGCCATACTGCTGCTCATAGCCATTCTGGTAAGCTCCTGCAGCAGGGTTACCAGCCCTGAAGCCAGCCTGCATGCCTGCGGCTGCAAAGCCATTTCCAAAAGGTGTTCCATTACTGAAACTTTGGGCACTGTAAGCCCCATTTTGAGTTTTTGCTCCAAAGTCTCTCTTTCCTAGTGCACCATAGGTTCTCTCAAAGTTCTCCCTCTCTCTAAAACTACTAAATCCACCCCTTTTGCCCGCAGAGTATCTGTCACGTCGATCGCCTCGGGAACGACCTATTAAAAAGAGACAACATATAGTGTTATATATATATAGATAGATAGATCTCAAAGGCTGCATTTTAGAAGCCTCCAAATGAGTTCAGCCAATAAGAGAAAAATCTTTCCCTTTCTGCACCATCAAGGCCAATTTACTATAGAAGCTTTCCAGTTGCTAACTGACCTCTAGTTAGATGAAGACTATTTTAATAGATAAAGCCGTCAAACCTATAAGTATAGTCATATTACTCTCCCCTGTAACACAAGCAGTGGCCTCAAGGCAAAAAGTCACTTTCACCTTGCCAACAGGACACTTACATCCACCTTTTCTAGCAATATGAGAAAAGGCCACAAAACTGAGCTCTGCGATGTTATATTTCAGAGCAAATACTCAAACACATTATCTTTGGCCACAGGTGCACCACATCACGGGTGTGGAGTATTTAGAGGGAAGAGGTGTTGCTTTTTGGTTTTGGTGTTCATAAATACCTTTTCAGGTCACTAACTGGTAGCTAAACCACCTTCCACGTTCATTTTGTAGAAAGGACAGAGGTGGAATTTGAGTTTCCATTTTGTTCCTAGAGGAAAGCTAGGCACTGTGGTCAAGAACAGTACTTACCTGAACCTCTGTCTTCAATCAACTGAAGCAATTTGGGGTTGATGGCTTGATTAGCCTCCCGAAGCACAGAGATGAGGTCGTTTACTTGCTTAATATTGTTAGGAGTAAAGAATGTGTATGCTGTGCCTGTTTTGGTACTGCGGGCAGTTCGTCCAATTCGGTGGATATAGTCCTCTGAGGAGTTAGGGTAGTCATAATTGATGACAAATTTCACATCTTCCACATCTGTAAAGTGTTGCAGTGTGGCAAAAAGCAAGGTACAAAGTTTTGCACACCACAACAGCCAAATCGAAGACAAACATTAGACAATAGTACTTCAAAGAAAATAATGGCTGCAAAGAACAGTGTTAGAATTATCCATTTCTGCATGAGTACCGTGGAAGGGAAAGTAATGCACACTCCGTCTGTCCCCATCTCATCACCCACCCTGTGATCCAAAACCTTACCATAAAGGAGTATGCATTTGCTTGTCATTCCCAACTCAAGAGTCCCCTTTACAAATCATCAAGTGACATCTGAATGCTTCTTGCAGTAGGGCCACTAAAGCTCACAGCAGCCTCTTCATGTGCTCATTTGAGGACCTTAGAGTAAAAACATACAAGGTCCTTCACATACACACTCATTAGAAGCTCAAAAAAAGGGGCCACACTGCTTGTCTTGCCAAGACCTTTGAACCGCAGCTGCAAGAAAAACATACCTGTCCCCCCAAAGTCACCAAGTTGTTTTTATGCACTGTGTCTCGTCTAGGCAAGCGCTTCCAAGAAGCCAGGGTTCACTTGAGAATGTGTCTCTCTCTGGCAGGTCTCGACATGACGACTATGTATAGGTGGAGGAACTTCGACTTTCAAAGGCATTTGAAAAGCCATTGCTTTCCTGCCCCACTTGCTAAAGTGAGAGGTGGCCTTTTTCTCAGATTTCATGTGCCAGTACTCACCAATTTGTACAAGGCTTAGTACATTTTAAAGCTGCTCTCTCCATTTCATGGTTGAAAAAAAAATTTTCATTGAAGTTTGTAATTATTTTCTTCAACATTTCAGCAAACTCACTGAAATTCAAAGACCCACAGATCACAGCAGACAGTATGCACAAAACTAACAGTACTGCACCATGGCAAATCA